TGGGGTTCATTGGTGGGCCCGATGGATAGCCCATCATCAGAGCTAAAAAGAAAAAATACAATTAATCTGAAGCTCCTGTGATGAATAGTTTTTGAATTATAAGCAATTTTGTATTTCCAGACACCCACTTTTCAGATGGAGCCCCCTCCTCAAATATGGGGTCTATTGTAAAACCGTTGGTGGGTACAGTGCACAGCGGACACATCTACATTCTTGCTAAATTTCACGTTGATCGGTGCAGCTGTTTCTGTGCTACGGTTGACTAAATCATTAAAAAACTAGAAGCACTCAGAGAGTGCAAACCTCCACCAAGTCCAATTTCCCCATCCTGTAAGAGTTAATGCACAAAAGCAGAGATGGAAACACATTTGCTGAATAAGTTCTGATGTAGTGAACATTTAAGCAGCAGTATGCACGGGATTTCTTCTCTGTGGAGTCCAATGTGAAAACAAAAAGTCAGACTGGTCACCTGACGTTATTCCTGGTCAAACTGGTGTGGGATTAAGCTCCTAAGTTTTCATCAGTCACATTTCACCATGTAAAACGTCTGTTTTATCTCCTTGTATGAGTTTGTAATGGTTTGACTCTCTTTATAAAGTGCTTCCTGGCTCCCCCCGTCTCCAAACTTTGAGGCCCGGCAGCTCTCTGTTTACAAGCCTAGTAGAGACAAACTGTTTTCATTGGTTGTTTCAGAAATGTGGTGTGTTTGAGGAAATGGGAAAAATAGGTTTCATGGTGCAGTCACGCACTTCCTGGTCACAAAACGTTCTGTAAATGTGCATATTATGGCAAAAATTATTCATCATTAAATGTGGTTTTAGAAGTCCGTGCTGTCCAATCCAGCTCTCTGTTTTTTACAGAAGCCCTGTGAAAGCATCACAGCTTTGCCGATCTCAGAGGATTAAAAGAAAAAAAAAATCCTGTATCCACATCGTGATCCGGAACATCACCAAAATTTAAAAGGTGTGTTCCTTGGCCCAGTACACACATGTGGTAAAAATGTCATGACAATCTGTCCACAAGTTTTTGAGTAATGTTGTCCACAGACAGAACGACAGACAAACGGACATATATGACCGAAAACATTACCTTGCCCGTTGGCGGAGGTAAAAAAACAATGAACAGTACAAAAACATTATGACTCCTGCTTCCAGTCATAATTAGGTGGGAGTCACACCCAAACCCAAGGAAATAAGAGGATCTGTTGCGTCTTCACCCTCTCAGCTCAAACGTGGACACGATTACTCATAGCTGCGCTCGGATTGGTCACAGGTGTCTCCAAATGAGCGAAGATGAAGCTCATTAATCGAGGCAACACTGAAAGAGCAACAACAGCCAGGAAAATGACTGCAGGTATGAGACGGATGCAGAGAACCGATGGAAGTAATAAAAGGTTCAGAACAAGTTAAACGACGAGGAATGGCTCCATTTTGGGAGATTTCAGAAAGTTCATGGTCTAAACTGAAATAAAAAATCTTTTTTAGTTTGTAAAACAAGATTTCTACCTCCGTCCTTTTATAATGAGCTCTATGCAGGGGAACTAAACGGCATGCACAGAGTCCTTTTGTATTTTGATTTGGTTATGATGACTCACCAAACCACGTTTCACATCTTTTCTCACCATAACTGGTTTGACTTTGTTTCATGCAGAACATGAGTGAGCCATTGTCCAGACTGCAGATCTGCACAAAGAGTTTAAATCACTCAACACTTCAAAACCAAAACATTCAAAACAAGGCTGCACTTAGTTTCTAATAAAACAAATGTTTCAGCTTCATGACGCATTAAATCAAACATTTACCGTTTGTCAAACGTCACAAGTCCGACATTAACTGTTTAGATGTAGGTTAAAGTTTCACAACACGACACTTGAACCCTTAATTTCTCCGAAGTTCACTTCAAAGGGATGAAATTAGTTTGTGCCGTGGCCAGAGTGAATTTATTGCTACTGGCAGGTGTCGGCTTGTTCCTCGTGAGAGACTGTATAATCGAACCCCTCTGACAGAAGTGTTTGTTTGACATTTTGCAGTAAATTACTGCGCTGACTTGCAGAGTGAGGGAGGCCTGGCCCGGTGGTGAAGGGGAAAAAGACCGACGCTCGCAGGAGAGAGAGAGGCTCTGCCAAATGAACTATAAATGTGAACGATGCCGTCGCTTTCATCGACGTTTCCACTTTAAATTGAGCTAAATTTAGTTTTAGTCAAACTTGCTGCCAAGCAAACTTTTTCCTGCTTCATCTGCACCTCTCACCTAAATGAAAACAGATTTTGAAAAGTAAGTTTTTGGTGAATGAATGTAACAGTTTCAGAGGAACAAAGATGCAGCAGCTTAAATGCAAAACCACCACAATGTATTCTATCGTTGACTTGCTTTAAAGTGCCTGTGACACCAAATGTTTGGAATCAATGTGAAATATTTGGAAACATTAATAACATGTTTCAAAAATTATTTCACTCTGCTGAGATGAACAGTTGTTGAGATATTTGCATGCGAGGCAACAGGAAGTGATGTCAGAGGGGAATGTCTGCATGTGAACAGAGTTGCTACAAAAACTAACGACACAGAGTGTAGAGAAGAATCTGATGTTTTACATTATTTTGAGATGAAGAGTCAGAGTTCAAATATTGTTTTCATTAACAAAGACCTGAGAGTCCTCTTTCTTAAAGGGCCAATATTATGTCTTTCTCAGGCATAAATTTAAATACTATACCATAATAAAGTATCTATGTTACCTTTAGTTGCTATTAAAACGCTGTTTTTATGTTTAAATAGAAAATAAARTDATCTTCTCATCACTTCCTCTTCTAAACGCCTTGAAATTGGCCTCTGTCTCTTTAAGAACCTCCTTCTGCTTCTGTTCCGTCCCGTTCGGCCGGGGGGGGGGGGGGGGTGTTCATCTGAAAAGAGCTTCACTGAGTGAGAACTGATGTTGAGAGCTCAGCAGACAGTTTAAGTTCCACTTTCACTTTGACCCGAGAACCCAAGTAGGGGTCTCTGCGGACGAGTGGGCGTGCCTCAATGAAAGGCAATTCTAAAGCAACACACCTGATTTGACGGACTTTTTTTTCTTCTTAAAAAGGGACACACCTGACTGGACAAGCAAAAAATGGTCATCACCGTACGGCACCACCCGATTGGACAAGAACAAAAGGGGTGTTACTGTACGGCACCACTTTTTCTGGAGACCCCTTCTTGGGTCACATTTCTCCTGGTTAACCTTGGTGTTGGGGTCAGGGTCAGGCCCTTGTAGCCCACAGTGTTTATGCTTTAGACACGCCCACCCTTGTGACACGCCCACTTTGATTCCGCAGATAACCCCTTCTCCAAGAGCCTGCAGGAGTCATGGGCGGGGTGTGTGGGGAGGGGGGTTGCGCTCTGCCATGAGGAAGTTCAGCTTAAAGACACGTCCCAGGGGAGTTCCTGGTACCAAAAGGTGTTTCTGGTCCCCACCTGTCGTTTTGCTCCTCAGCATGGCTTCATAAAAACACTGCAGGATTTRTCAAACATGATGAATGAGTCAGAGCAAGGCTTTGGGCATGTTTTTTATGAGAGTATAACATTATAACATGATGTAAAAAGTTGATTTTACATGATATTGCCCTTTAAAGAGTTCCCCTTTGATGTCACTTCCTGTTTCACTTTGTTAAAGTCAACCCTTAGCAAAAAGTAGTACACTTAAACTTATATTCAGGTATACTTATTAAAATGAACTTTAAGTGTATCAAGTAAACTACGCAACGTGTACTTTTAGTGTACTGGAAAATATACTGACTTTATACGTCTTTGGACTAAATTGGAACAGTTTTTATTTAATAAAATGTATACTTTATGTATACTTGTGTAAACTAAAGGTTTACCACATGTTATATTTATACTTCTAGTGTACTATACTTGTGGTTCACATTTTAGCTTGTTAAATTATATTTAAAGTATACCACAAGTACATTTCTCTATACTTGCTTTGCACTAGTTATATACTTCTAGTCCTCGTTTCAGTTTAAGTATACTTGAAGTACAACTTTATGAGTTACTAAAAATAAAACACTATTTTTGTCATTTTAATTGTTAGTTTATACTTGTAAGTTTGCTTTCTTGTAGAATACTATTTATGTACTGAAACAGTATTTCCTTAAGTATTCCTAAACATGACCCATGCTATATGTATATTACACTGTAATGTGTTTACAAAATCACAAGACAGAACCTTAATACTTCAATATATTTATGACATTTAATAAAAAGTATAAGTTTAAGTCATAGTATTAATGTACTTGGCCTTATACTGAAAAGTAGAAAGAGAAGAAGTTTAAGACTAAGTATATTTCACTATACTAATATCAAGTATATCAAATATAGTTTATAAAAGTAAACTTCAGGTACGCTGGCTCATTTTAGTGTAGAATAAGCAGAGCTTTATAGTAACTAAGAACATTTACTTTGCTACAGTACTTAAATAATTTTGAGTATTAGTAGTTTTACTAAGTATTTTTTTAAATCGTGACTTTTACTTTTACTTAGTTACTTTCAAAACCTAAAAATGATACTTTTACTTCTTTACTTTAAAGTTTAACACCTAGTTACTAGGAGCCAGTTTGGTTCTGTAAATTTAAACAGTTTGTTAGAGAGCGTGGAAAAGTACTTTTACTTCTACTTTCCTAATTTTCGTGCACAGTTTGACTTTTACTTAGTTAATTTTTTTCAAGTACTTATAGATCTCTGAAAATAAGTATATTCTTAGTAAACTTAAATTACTTTTTGCTAAGGGAAATAAAAAAAAGAGGTGCCAGTTTTGTGACAAAACGGGTAAAATGATGTGTGTTATACCAAGTTTCTTAAAGAAAGATGTTTTCTTTGACTTCTTATTTGAAAGATATCACAGGAACTTTAATACAAAGGGTCAACTGAAAGTTGGAGCTTCTGCTCACATTCCAGGAAGTTGCTACAACCATTGAAATGTTCCTGACTTCAGGACGGGATTAACGTCACAGATCAGTTCTCACCTTTAGTTGGCAGGACGCTGGTAACAACATGTTATGCTCTCTGCTGCGTCAGTATCACATGTCCACTTCACTTTACATCCTCCTCCATCACATCAGAGCCACCATCACCAAGGTGACATCAAACTGTTGGACAGTATATGCTATGCTAACGACGCAAGATGTAGAGGGAGGACAAACAAACAAAAATAAAAATAAATAAATCTCTTTTCAGTCACTGAAAAATCAAGTATTTAATATTTGAGCTCAGTGAAACAAAGAAGTTGAAAATAAATGACTATGTCAGACATTAAATATTTACCTTTGGGTCAAGGTAAGACGGTCAGCTTCCAAACTAATTTCTTCATAACCAGTGCGTAACAAAGCTTTTAACTCCGTCAACAACAAATGTCTCTACAAGTATTTTGTGCCTTTGTGTGTTTAATAAAGTTGCTTATAAGACAAGAGGGTATTTGTCACCAGCATGGAGACCACAAGACTCCATGTGTCAAAGGTATGAGGGCCAAAACTAAGGCTACGTTCCCACTGCAGGTCTTAATGCTCAGTTCCGATTTTTTGAAAAAATCAGATCTTTTTGTGTGAACGTTCACATTACATTTTAAATGTGACCTGCATCACGTCACCTGTGTGAACGCTCCATAGCACTGATGTGACACGCATGCGCAGTAAAAGATGTGACGTCTCATCAGCCGGCTTGTTTGTTTACAGAGCTAGCATGGATGCTACATTTTGCACATCGAATCAGAAGTTGT